GCCCCCCCAGTGTCGCGGGCCCCATAGCGACCGCATCGGTCGCTATGGTCGTAGTTCCGCCACTGCTAGGGATAATCATGTAATGTTAGCTGGCAAACACTTTATAGTGATCTAGTGGCCCGTGGTTGGAACCATAGCACACACTGAAAAACTAGGCATCCTACACACCAGAAAGATGACATTGTAGGGAGGTCCATGGCAGAACATGGGACTTAAATGAAATGGACCACAAAATAGATTTTACCACTTTTCACTATAAGTGATATTGCCATTTCGCAGCATGTAGATTCTTCTTCTATCTTTCAAAGTATTTTATTCATTTTCCAGAGTAGAATAAAACAATAAGATAGCACATGATGCACAAACAGTATGTAGATTCTGCTTCTAAAAACATTTTAAATACTTTGTATATGTACACACAGATCACACTTTTTCTGGGGGCAGATTTTAATCTCTATTGGTAGCCTAATTTAAAAAGAGAATATTTATTGCATGCTTTTTATTCACAAAAAGACTGTGAATAATCAAACAATTTTTTTAGTTTCACCTACAAAATTTGACGATTATTAATTAATGCTGCCCTAGTATTAACTGTTAACATAGTCTCTTGTTTATTTTGCTCCTGTTCAGGACTGGCATTTGACTGAACACGTTGGCAGAAATGGCAGCTTCTCTCTGTGTGTACAACAGTAATTGGGCACTCAGGAGGCTTCCTTAATTATGTGCTCTGAATTAAGGGTTCTCATCAGTACCCACTGTCAATGAGAGTGGACTGCCTTATCCATGTGGAGAACTGAGCCAGGACAGTCTGTTATCACTTTATTGGTAGAATAAAGTGAGAATAAAGCCTGGAGAAGAATGAGGGAAGAGTAGAGGAGACGATGACAATACAGAGTGAGAATTGGAGGAAAGAAAAAGGTAAGGGCTCTCCCTTACACTTTTTTCCTCCAAATTTCCTTCCACTGCTAGTAGATAATAATTGTTGCTAAATTAGAAAGGGAGCAAAACAGATATGTTGAATATTTGCAAAGGGTGCAGAAAAATCCAGAGTAGAAAGAGAAACGAGCGAAAATACTGTTGGTAAGATGTATAAGGGTATATGAAAAGAAACAAGGGGAAGAGAGAACATGCGTGAAGCAGAGTGCCGTAAAAAAAAAAAAAAGGACAGAGGGGAACTAGAATAAAGAAAGGGAGAGCAGATGGTTGAAGAAGTTAGAGAAGTGTTAGAGGTGGTTGACAGAAGGGAACAGAAATGGAGGAAATCTAAACTCTTCCATTTATAGAGATGAACTAGGCAGGCCTGATAACACTGCTTGAGATATCAGAGCAGCAGAGACACAGAAAATTACCGACTTACTGGACTGTTTTCAGGATTAATAGACATTTTAAAAACACTCTTGAAATGGTATATTGAACAGACCAAATGGGAGCAAATAAAAGTCCCTTGTTAGTTTACATACACTAAGCAAAAGTTAAACTGTTGCCCACATCTTCTTTCATTTTTGCTACAATTTCCCTTTCTTTATTTTCCATAGATTTGCAATTGGCAAAAACAATGCTTTTAGTAAAATGGCACAGAAATATGTAATTATTTTTTATTGGGTTTCCTTCTTAGTAGTCCTTTCACCAAAATAAAATTTTGAAACGTGCCAGGATAGAAATATGGGAGATTACATTGCTGAAACCATAAGGAGATCAGAGGTCAACTAAAGTATGCTGGTTGTTAGGCCATTAGCTGCCTGTCCTTCCATCTTCTAAGTGGCAAGAGAGCTCAGTGATTGTCAGATATTATCACTTTTTTTTCTGCTCAGATAGGACCCTGGTTTATATCTGATCACCAGCCACCTGGATCTATACCATTTCTCTCCATATGTGCTATGTATCAATGGGTTAAAAATTATACCATTATTATTAAGGATGTCCCGATATCAAGACAAATACAAGTACTTCCCCTCATGTACTTGCCGATGCCAATTACCGATACTTTTTCTTAAAGGGATAGGTGACTTTAAATGATCCATAGTACAACTACATGTTATGTACTATGGATCATGATTTAACCTATTCATGTTAGCAGGGGAGAATTGTCAATCTATTGCTGTAATGTAGTGGAGGTCCTGTCCCAGCTTCCCTCACTCAGTTTCACTCCGATCCCTGTTGCCTCATGCAGTGCCTCTCGTAGTTGGCGCTGGGCAGGATCGCTGCATCGTGTCTCGGTGCTCAGCTTGTGGGAGGCGCTCACAATTCTGCCCTGCTAACATGAAGGGTAAATCATGATCCATAATACATATACAGCACATACGTCCCGTACACTGCAGTAATCCACCATAAAATGCCTACCAGACCTAAAGAGCCTGGTATGACTTTGGGGGCAACCCTATGCACTTTTTTTAACTTGGGGTCCCTCCTAACTTTCCTACCAGACCTAAAGGGTCTGCTATGGATCAGAAAGTTTCTCTACCTCGGAGATAGAGAGCAGAATAATGTTGGATTGGCTGAGCGCGTTTGGCTGAACCGAAGCCAGACAAAGTAGGCTGATTTTAGCCAATGTATGGCTGAAATTAGCCATACAGGGCCGAAGTGAATAGCTTACCAGCGTTCAGCTCACTTCACTTCGGCCCGGTTATTCACTGGGCTGCCTTCGACAGCTCAGTGAATAACCCCTTATATGTTTGGGGTTTTTGCTGGCATATCTCGTGACAATAGCTTTTTTAAATTTCTTTTTGGATGCACTCTTGCATTTATTTGCATACTATTGTTGGTACTGTTGAAACTGTGTGTATTTATTGTTTAACATTAGAGATTATGGTCTGGATCATATCAACCCAGGATTTAGAACCGCTCCGCGGCTGGAGATTGTCTGGTTCAAGGATAGTGTCCTGTTTGATATATGGAGTGGGAGTTTTCTGGTTTTATTTGTTAATTTTTTTTATTGCAGTAGGATGTGTGGAAATGTTTATTTATATTTTGAATAAAGATTTATACACATGCAACATCTATATATAGAAGCTTTACAGCTTTTGTCAAAAATGATTTCTTCTGAGTGTTGTTTCTGTTTAATGAAATTGCAACCAACTCTGATGTTTCTGTTTTGGTTATAAAGTATTGGTTAGATCCCCCTTATAATGCACAAAGCAGGTGCACAGATGTGACAACTCAAATGTAGAAATCTTCCTGCCATAACAAGGCAGGCACAGCAAATCACCTGCAAAGGTCTTGCTGTCAGAGCTGCTGAGAGATATCCAACGCCACTGGGTATTTCAGTTTTTGGTAGGCTGATCCTCAAGCCATGTTAACAAGATTCAAAAATAATAAATATTGCCAACATATTTATAAGGAGGCATTCTGATTAACTGCACTATCTCTTATGTGTTGCTCAGGTTCTAGAAATAAGTCATGATGGTGGAATCTGCCTCTGATTCAATACGATCTACTCCAACCAGTCAAAATGGAGTAAGCAGTCTTCCCAACCAGTCTGAAGGAGGTGGAGTACGAGAGGCGAATCCAAGTGGAGAGAGTAATGGAGAGTTAAATACAGCAGAGCTCCTACATTTCCAGCAGCAACAGGTAAAGAGCAAAGTATATTTAGGATATTATAATATTGTAAAAATGCTAAACACATTTGAGCGTATTTTAATAGTCAGAGCAATGTTCAAGACACAGTAAGCAGCAGCCAGTCTGATGTCATATTGTCACTGATTTTTCCTCAGTAATCTGAAAACTGATTGGCTGATAAGGATTTTCACACTTTGCCCCATAGTCCTTATCTTTTCACTGGAAACTTGCCTTTGAGAGCTAGACATGTGTTAGAAAATTCAAGCAAATGTCTGCTTTTTTTGGCTTGGCAATGTGCATAATTAATCAGGTTTCTGCTATCATTTATTCCACAGGTGTTAAACCTGGACTCTGGGAACTGAAAGCAGAACCCTGGGCAAAGCTTTTCTTAACCCTTGCAGTGGGGCTACCCCCACACTGCAAGGGTTAACTACTCCTTTTTGCCTAGGTGCTAAAAAAAGTTGTACTCACCTTAATCGCAGTTTCCAGCCTCTCTCCGCCTCCTCTGCAGCTGTCTAAGTCTAAACCATCACTTTCTATACACAGTGTATAGACATGAGGACGGTGAGGAACATTCCAATGTTGCAGCATAGAAGGAGAGAGAGGCAACTGAGACTGGAGAAGTAGGGAGCCGGCTCAGCAGTTCCGGTACAACTAGACAAAAAAACAAGCAGTTAACACTTGCATTGCTAGGGTAGCCCCACTGCAAAGGGTTAATCAAAGTTTTTCCCAGAGTTCTTCTTTAAAAAAGAAACTATCCCCCCCCCCCCCCCATCCACACTACTTGCCCATTCTCAAAATGCCTTGTATTTTTTTTCAAAGAATACAAGGCATTTTGTGCTGCTTGGAGGTGCAGAGGAGGGGGCGGAAATGTGCCATCATCTCTCCTCCTCCAATCACAGAATGACTTGTATTCTTTGAGAAAAAAAAACATTACAAAGACATTTTGTGAATGGGCAAGTAGTGAGGAGGGGCAGGTGATGCGACCGGAGCACTTCACTGCTCAAGTCACATCGCTCACTCCCTGCAGTGCCCGGAAGCTCAGCGTTATGTGTAGGAGCTAGCATGCTGCAAGGTAACTTTTTTACACTTTGCAACTGCCCTCCACACAACAGTTTTGGATAGAGTGGGGAAGGATTTGAACTTCTTTAGGATATTAGTATCATTGGAATCTCCCTTGGAGAGATCATCCCAAAAACAGTACGTGAGGGGAAATCTCTCTGGCAGCAACACAGACAGAAGTACAGTTTGTTTGTTTTTTTAAGTATTGGAATGCTAGAACCTCTTTCAGATTTCCGGACCAGTGAGGGAACATTTCTCTAATGGAGCCCCAGATAGCAGTAAAAATCTGACAGAGGTTCTAACCTTTCTCCAGTCTGTCCAAAACTAAAAACAATGTTTTGCGTATACATACACTTTAATGGAATTGCCATTACTGGGTAGAACATTCCACAGCTTAACTTCTCTTAATCTAGGAAATCTCTTTGTATACTATTGTAGAAGCTCCTTTCCTTATATATATATATATATATATATAACTGTTGATCCCTTGTACAGTCTTTGGGCTAAAAAATTAAACTGCTAATCCTTTGCAATTTCTATGGATTTATATCTATATAATTATTAAATCACCTTTTAGACATATTTTTTCTATAATAAACAACCTTACATTAAAGGCTTTTTCACCCCTTCTGTTAATTTAGCTTCTCATCTTTCTATTTCCAAGTCTCCTATGTCTTTTTAACAATAGACTGTCCAAAACCGTATTCCATATTTAAGATATGGCACTGCAAATAATTCATATGGGATCAAAAGTATATCAGCAGTTTCAGATCTTTTTTTATATATACTAAGATTTCATTGTTTTTTTGTGGTTGGTGTCTTTCATTGAACAGTTCTGCATAGCTCACTATTCACCAGTATTGGGCTATATCTGTTGTAAAGCGCTGCAAACTCTCGCCTTTTGTAGTACGTTCTGATAACAGCTACCCTTTGCTTTCGGTCCTTTAAGCCGTTCTTTAACCCATGTATATGCATTCTTTCCAAGTTCCTGCATCTTCGACTGTACCAGACTATTATGATTTACATTATTAATGCTTTTCCAAAAGTATATTATGTCAACAGCATTTCTAACATCCAGATTTGAACTTACCTTCTCTACAGCTCCTACATTATGTAGACTTGGCTTATCTTTCATGGACTCTGATTTTATTCGAATAGATTCTCTGTTATATATGTGTTTGCATATTATTCTTCAGTATACTTTCAAATCATTTACACAATTTATTAGTTTTGTTTTGTTTTTTTACCGTTTCTAGCTTTTTACCTTTATTAGGTACATCTGCTACAATCTACTCTTATAAAGAATGACAAGAGTTTAAGATATAGTGGCTTATTAGGGACTGAGATTAAAAGATTTTTCAGCATAGCATTAGACCAGTTTAGCATGCAGGACCCTTATATAGGATCAGTGTGCTGCCCATTTGCCTCTTTTTAAAAACCCATTCGCTTCAACGGGTTCTCAGGTACAAGGTTGTGCTGAGAAAGCTGAATTACTTAGAGCCTCCTTCAAATAGTTATTAAGCATGCATAAGAGGAGGAGTAATCAAGATGCTGGACATAACTATTTTTTCCTTAGGATGTAAAAATAGCTGTGGCCACCTTAGGAAATGAAAAATAAATGGGATATTTTATATGTAAAAAAGAATACAGTTTGAAATTACAAATAGCTTTGGCTGTGGGGCAACATTGTTTAGAACAATAAACAAGGTAATATTCATAATTTAAGGTTCTACATCTGCTTAAAAAAACATTAAACAGTGTCTTATCTTCTTTAGGCATTGCAGGTGGCACGGCAGCTTTTGTTGCAACAGGCAACAGGGCTAAGTACCCCAAGCAGCACAGAAAACAAGCAGCCTTCAGTTCAGGTAGGAACCACTGGACAGCTAGCTGCATGAATGGATGGCAGTAAATTCCCATGTCAAACAAGTCACATCTTTTTGATTCTTATACCAGGTACCCGTTTCAGTGGCTATGATGTCTCCACAGATGTTAACCCAGCATCAGATGCAGCAGATTTTGTCTCCTGCACAAATCCAGGCAGTTCTGCAGCAGCAGCAAGCACTTATGCTGCAGCAGGTGAGATCCTTTATGTAGCTATTAATTACAAAACAAATTAAGGAGATCTATGAAAGCCATTGTATATAATGTTTACTACGTATTAAAATGATGGTGACTCACCTGAAAGACAACATTTGCAATTATCTGTAACATAAAACTTATAGAAGTAAGCCACTTTGAGTGTCTTTTATGAGTTATAACATATCTTAGATTTTTTCCACATGGTGTAGTGTTACAGCCTGGGACTCTAGTGCATGTAACTGGTATTTTATGTCACTGATTTATATAAAAATTGTCCTTACAGTGGAAAAGAATCTAAATAGCTTTCAAAATTATTTGCAAATAAAAAAAACAAACAGTTTTATTTGCTTAAGTATTTACCCTGTTTCTGTGCAAATAAGCTCCACATAAGTCATGACTAGACAAATTCCGGTGGCCATGGTGACAAAAAAGCTCCCGGGTGTCCAGGTATTTTATATGCAGTTATATTGATTGCAGTTCCTACAACCTCCTCTGCAGTTCTTTTAGCTGCCACTAGATAAAGCCTGGTAGATACCAATAAATCCGTATTGCAGGCTACCACAGAAACTCCTGTGAAAGCATATCAAACTGTGCACAAAAAGGAGTCAGAGTGCCTAGCCACAGCCTTCCAAATGGGCTGCAGGAAGGCACAGGTGCTATATTCAGGTGGGTGTTTGAAAAGTGGCCATTTTGCTTAGGGCACTCACATCACACGTCAAAAACACCTGGGCTTTGTAAAGATTTAACTCAGTTTAAGTGCAGCAATGGGGTTTTAAAGAGGGTGTCTGTCATTGCAGTGTACATAGAGTGCACCAAAACTATAACCAAAACTTTAGTTCACTGTTTTGCATTTTTAGGCATTTAAATACTTGGGAAACTGCATTATAATTCATAATGAAATCTGTGCAACAATAATCATTTGCACTGTTCTCATTGATGCATGTACAGCATGCAGTTTTATTGCCATTTAAATTAAACCTATAGCCAAACTATGGACACTCAATTTTTAATAAACAATAAATGAGCTTTAAAGTTGAACCCTTTTAAGAAGTAAAACAAATACTATGTAGTTGTACCACTTTACCCACACAGCAAGGGTTAACTGCTTGTTTTGTCTAGGGGGTAAGGAATAAGGTGAAATACCTTATGCCTCCTTCTCTCGGAAGCTGCCGCTCTCTTTCATTTCTGGCCATATGGCCATGCCCTTGACATCCTCATGTCACTGTATTGTAGGTGATGTCAGAAGCCACGGACCAAGTAGAGGAATGGCTTTGTGGGACTGGTCATATGACAAGGAGGAGGCCTGGGGGAGTGAGAAATATGGTAAGTATTTCTTATTATTCCTTACCCCCTAGACTAAATGAGCAGTTAACCCTTGATGTGCAGGAGACAGAGGCAACTATGTAGTAATTCTTTACTGCTGACTAGAGTTCAGTTTTAAAATAATGCCTTACTGATCTTTGTGGCTGCAGGCATTGAGAAAAAATTAATTCTCAGATGTACAAAAGAGACACTGAAATCTCAGCTCATGGAAGCAGTGACTTGATAGTTTTTAGCCTTCTATTGTCAACAGACAGTAAGTGCTTTAACGTAATGGCAGATATCTTATCATGCATTTTGCTTGCAGCTTCACATGCATGTAGCTGCTACAATAATATCTAAATGTAAACAGGGCCAAACTGGGATGTTGGGTTCTTATCATCAGAATGCCTAAAACATAAGTATATATGTTTTAGATGCAGTGGGAGAGGGTTGAAACTGTCAGTTTATTTTTTCTCCACACAGTGAGAGGCATTACCTCTTAGACAGTTGTCTCTAAAACAGGAGCCCCCCATTGCAAAATTTACCATGAAGAATGGGTCAGGACTGCAATGGTGCTGTTTGTGTAGGTGTGCAAGAGCAAAAATAATGCATGACATTAATCAGGGTTTATAACTGGCCTAATTTCAAATTGATTCTAGAATGTCAGTGTGTGCTCATTTGGATCTGGGGGTTATGGGCACGTGGGTATTTATTTATTTATATTTTGTGGGAGTCTTGAACGGGTCATGTATAAAAATGATATTTTGCTCGCATTTCTGAAGCAGAGATGACCCTGGTCAAATTTGTTCCATTACAATTTCTATTACCTTGTTTCTCACCATTAGATCAGCCAGTCATTGTAGTCTTTGTAGTCAACATGCTCCCATCTTTTTTTCAAAGCTTCAGGAATATTATAAGAAGCAACAAGAACAGCTACACCTCCAGTTGCTCTCACAGCAGCAGTCAGGGAAACAGCAGGCCAAAGAGGTAAGTGATTTTTAAGACATCTTTTTAAAAACATCTGTTTGACCCGTGTGTAAAGCATATGAAAGCCCAGTTGAAGTCACAGAAATAGATATGCAGTCAGATAGCCACTGTGCTCACAACCTCTGTGTCTATATTTGACTTTTCAGTCCAATAGTTACTAGAGTTAGATACACTCTCAGTCATAGATTGGGTCTGACACACACCCCCTTTCTTCCCATGCAATACAAGTGTGTGAGAATGATTGTGATGAAGGTTGTGGCAGCATAAAGCACTGATGAGGAGAGAAGGAAGCAGCATTTGCACTGAGAGAAAAGTGTATTTTAAGGCATTTACAGCTAAACATGAGTCACCAGTCGCAACATGTGGGGATATAGGACACTAAAGACATATAAATATGAGAGACCTCAACTGAGCTTTAAGTCTTATTTTTGTTCTTGAGAATATTGTTCTATTTCACATTAATGGCTGCTTTTAAATATTCAGTTGAGTAAGCCAGTTGCCTACCAAATATTTGTGCAGTTGCTGTTAAGATGGCCTAAAAAATGGGTTGTTTTAATAAAATTTGGGAATGATGGCTACATATCCATGAGCCCTTTAAAACCTCAGTTGATGTTTTACAACGCGAAAAATCTGTCAATTTGAAGTGATCTTTTTAACTCTGTACCAGATTGTCCTCCTCACCTACCTCTGTCTTTCCTTTCTTCTTTATCAATGTAATCTTCCACTCCATTCCCTCTTACATATTGCAGATTTAAAACTCAAGTGACAATTTAGAGGTTTACTGATGACTGACACATTTACAAAACATCTTTATGCACAATTCAATTCTATATGTTCTTTATAGTACTAGATTATTTGACATGAGAACTAAAAAGATGCAAAATATGCTATATATACTGTATAAGTCTACAAATTCACAGAACACAGATGCTTATAATCTGCATGGCATGGTAATTATTATATCATTCGAGGGGTGACCACCACCACTTTTATTACATTGGTCCCTCACGTGGACACTGCTCTTTGACAAAGGTAACATTTTTGAAAGTGATGCTGCTAATGCAGGCATTTCTTGTGGCAGTCTGTCTTTTTTGTGGTTACGATAAAAAAAACTCATGCTCTGAGAGCATGAAGAGGAAGTTTTCAAACATGTTGGAAGATCTTTGCAACCAATATAGGATTGCACTGTTTTCCCCATAGAAGAAGATAGTCTATTCACTCCTCATGTGTCTGAGTAAATGTCAGTGGTGCCAGGTTAAACATCACTCAATTGTAATAAAAACCAGCACACAGCAAAATATTTTTTATCTGATCCTCTAATTGTTTTTCTGGGGGTTGCCTCCACTTTAAATTTCCCACTGTGTTTTATCTGTACCAACAGATATGAATGGCAGGCACACAGACATAGCTTTAGCAGCTTCCAGTACCTCCTGCTTCTCCCAAATTCTGTTCTGACAGGCAAAGCATCAACCCATCTGGGAGTTAGAACCCCCCCCTCCCCCCCACACATTCCTAATGACCCATCACTTTGGTGTTTGATGTTCTGCCTCACTGGTCATTAGGAATGTTCAGAAAGGGAAGGACAAGCTGCAGCACAGGAAGGGCCTGGCATTCAGGCAAAGCAGGAGGAACTGAAAGCTTCCGCAGGTAACTGCTGGGTGCCTGACCTTCCTACCTGTCAGAAGCTTTTTGTTTACCACATCTGGCCATACACCAGTAGAATTTTGTTAAAAAAATGTTTTTACAGAATGTTCATTCAATTTTGTAATGGTTTGTGGGGTCAAATCAGCAATCACTTTTGACCATAGTGATGATAAAAATTCAAGGGGCAGCTTTTTTCCTATATGAACAAACAAAATTCTAAGTATCATTTTTAATCCCATTTGGAAAAATCGTACATATTGTAATGCGCGTATGCTAGGCACAAAATAACATGTTTAATACATCTGGGATTCCATTCATGTAGTAGGTCTGCACAAGAATTTTAAGAGCTTTTGAACAAAATTAGTTGACTCAGTAAAGGCAAAATTAAATGTTCTGACGAACAATTTTTCACAATTTCAGATGAAATTGTACTAGTGTATGGCCTGCTTTAGTGACAAGGTTATTTCTCTGCAAAACTAACTGAGGTAATCTTAACTTAGGATGTAAATAACAATACTTGACATGTAAATATCCACTTGAGGCAACGTTCACGATCTTTAATATTAAATACAGTAATCAAAAGATTTGAATAGAAAGAGAAGAGAACATCACAAGATTTTCTATCATTCAGTATAAGTTTAATGGTCAAAGAGTTCTATTAAGTAATCAAAATGTCACAATAATAACTCAGAATGGCTTTTGAAAGTACAATATAGTTTAGCCTTAAATGATTGGTACAGGATTTTGACTAACTCCTAGGAATTTGTTTTTTTTTTCTATTGCATACATCATTGTATTATTTAGCTTCTGTATGTAGAAGAGCACTATTTTCTCTAGACAACAATTGGTAGCACAGCTTTGTAATTTTTTTCTTGTTATGCAATTCTTGTTTTTATTCAGTCAGCGCTGAGTAATAAACAGTTGGCATTCCAGCAGCAGCTTTTACAGATGCAGCAACTTCAGCAGCAGCACTTGCTAAATCTACAGAGACAAAGTCTAGTTGGGTTGCAGCCAGGACAAGGGCCTGTTACCATACCTGGCCTCCCCCAAGGTGAGTGACTGTATTTAAATAAATACAATTAACAGAAATGTAAGCTTTAGCCACACAAATAAATGTATTTTTTTAAAGATAAACTAAGACTATTCAGGGCTGTTATTAAATTAGTCTCCCTTGGTTATCAACTACACATGTGTAGGATCATCTCATAAATGAATCCTCATGATGCTTTGCAATGAGTAAAGTTTAAGGACAAGATAAACCTTTCTATCATTTACGGTTCGAGTTTGCTTACAGAATTTTCCTGTATTTTGGTATTGAATACACCAGCGCACACATGGCACAACTGGTCATTCTTTAATTGAGCATCATACTGAATGATTTTGGAAATGGTTACAGATCATTACAGCATTGTGAATTTGCCAGCATAGTAAATTGTGTCTTGTGCTTCTTCTGCTGAGCAAAACTACAGTGAAAACCGCAGTAAATGTTGGCTGGATTCCCTGGCGGCAGTGGTTTTATATTTGCAACTCATTTAGGTAATTTGTGAATTGTAAATAATAATTAAATGCCTTGAAAGGGGTAACGTCCCTTCATACTTATTTATCCATTTTGGCAATAATCAAAGACTGTATGTTAATTTATTGCCTAACAATTATTACACATTTGAAAGCAGTGTCTGGCCCCTGCTGCTATTGGAAATGCCTGCTCTGAGCGGGAATATTAGCTTAACTTGCACCAAAAAAATGTCTAGCTATACCGCTTGTCAATGCTGCATGTGAATAGATCCTGGAATCTCCTGATTGGATAAACTTCATAGCTCCTCTACTCCAAAAGTAATTACCCAACATTACAAATCCATCATATGAAAGATAATACAACTGTTCTTGAGAATATGATTTTTTTTTTTGTTCAAGGTCAACTGCATGTTGGAATATTCACTTGCCAGCGTGCTCCTCCATCCTCCAGTATAGTGTTCAGCATGTCATATGTCAAGCAGTACTTTTAAGGGACAATTACCCCTTATCAAGTAAGCTGGCAGAGGCAAAGTGATTGTTCCACTAGCTCAGTAAATGTGATAAAGCTATTTTCACTATAATCATTCAGTGATTTTCAAGCAAAATACAGTGTTGTGGCAAAAAGTGAACATTTGCTTTGCTAAATGAACATGCTCTACTCCTTTTCTAAATCAACCCCTGAATTTGCAATAATTTTTTATGTGGTGTCTTAATGGTAAACACATGCAAACAAGATTTGTTATTAATGCATAAATCTAACAGTGCAAAAGCAATCAAAATTGGTCCTCAAACAGTAGCAAAAATAAACAATGTGGCACTTATACAGCTGCTTTAGAACCATTATCAGTTAATTACCAGTTAAAGTACTGTCCTTTAGAGGTTAATTTTACATTAGAGCAGTCTCCTGCCTTATCACTGAAGATTTTTTTTCTGGTTTACGAATGTCAGTGTGTGGAATCCCTGATGATCCCCAAGTAGTCATTCATAATTACAGAATGTATCCAATAGTAAATATACCTCTTGTTGGGTAACAATGGTACAAAATGCCATGTAGGAAGTGGACAACAGCCTCATGAAATCGACAAGCCCTGGATCGATTCTGTATGCAATAGTCTTATTGTTGGGCTAGAGTTCCTTGGGACTGAGAGGAAACACGGAATGTACTGGACACATCAAGATCACAGTTTTATGCAGCATTTTAGTGATTGACATTTGGGCTGTTTTTCTTATGGACTCTGCATAAACTACACACCTTATATCATTCTCCTATTCAAGCATATTCATATATTGGATTCAATTAATTGTCCTACTATTTCTTAGAAAGCAGTCATATGCTGCTAATTATGAACTATATGGATGCTGGCACATTTTTTTTTAATTCTACTCCTTTCTATGGTATCTTAATGATCATTATTATGCTTGCCAGTCTATACATATAACTACACCTCTTACTGTACTGGTAATTGGACACATTTTGTGAGGTCACGTTTTTAGTAATGACCTAATGAAAGCTGAAGTTCATGCAAAATGTATTTTTTAAGTTTTGGATAAAATGAGGAAGAGTTTCAATTTCTGTCTGTCAAATTAGGGAGGTATTTCCTTCCTTTCTGTCCCTGTGACTCCTTTATAAAGAAATGGGTGTTGCACTTGTTAGCAGGACAGGAAGCCACAGAGAGCAATGAAAACATTGTCGAAAGTTCTAAACCTTGCACACTGTACTAAAAATATGTTCTAATATTAGTCTTTGAATATCTAATCATCTGTTGCACTCTGGGCTCCCTAGAGCCACCCTCATGTGCACGCTCCTGGCTGGGACTGTGCACTGACACGTACGGCAACAACAAACCAGCCAGCAAGCATCTAGGCACGCATGTGCAAAAGGGGCAGGATGCAAGGAGTCCTGGGAAGAATATCTAATCATCTGTGGCACTCTGGGCTCCCTAGAGCCACCCTCACGTGCACGCTCCTGGCTGGGACTGTGCACTGACACGTACGGGCAACACCAAATCAGCTAGCAAGCATCTAGGCACGCATGTGCAAAGGGGCAGGATGCAAGGAATCCTGGGAAGAATATCTAATCATCTGTGGCACTCTGGGCTCCCTAGAGCCACCCTCACGTGCACGCTCCTGGCTGGGACTGTGCACTGACACGTACGGGCAACACCAAACCAGCTAGCAAGCATCTAGGCACGCATGCGCAAAGGGGCAGGATGCAAGGAATGCTGGGAAGTCATGGATAGGTCATCTGACTATGAGCAGTGCACGCTCCCTGTCTGGTTTTTCGGGGAAGCGGTTCGAGGAGGCATGAGGATAGCAGAGGTAGAGGAAAGAAAAAGTAACAGGGTTATTCACAAAAGGGTGAAGAGTTTGGAGAAGGCAGGAGAAGTGAACAATCTAGGACAACATAGCTGATTTGGAACAATTCTCCAATTCAACTCCTTTCCAGTTCAGCTATGTTGTCCTAGATTGTTCACTTCTCCTGGCTTGTCCAAACTCCTCACCCTTTTGTGAATAACCATGTAAGTATTTGAGGCAAAAAAAGTATAAAGGAACTAACAATAATTTATTGTATTGTGCTGCTAAAGGAAAAAAAATGCTTTTTCCTACTAGGATTTAATACTACTTTGAATATCCAATTATGTGCCAGAGCAAGGAAAACAGGATTTTTACTTGATCATGATTGCATTCATTAAAGTGAACACATCTTTATCACATTCACAACATTCAGTCAACATTCACTTTGAAAAGTAGACATATATTTTATTGAGTGAACATGCTTTATTTCGTCATTAATCTACTTCATGCTTTTCAACTTTTTTTTACAGCCGTTTCCCCATCAGATTTTCAACAGCTCCTAAAAGAAATGAGTAATAATCAAGACGATTCCAGCAAACAGGAGAACATCGAACTGAGCTCTACGATTCCTACCTCATATTCATCCACCAAGGTGTCACCTCCAATAGTTCACATGTCGTTACCAAATGGGCAAAGTGCTCTGCAAAACACACGGCGGGACAGGTGATTATTAACTTTTATCTTGTTGGAAAAATGCAAATTTTTCTCCATGTTGCCAGCTTCTCGTGGGTCTGCTGATAGCAGTTATAAATAGGATGTCTTGTATTTGGAAAACAGCTATTTAGAAGTTCTTGATACCTGCCTTTGTCTTGCCTGGGACGCTCAGAGTTTCATTGTGCTTGCAAGCCAGTTTCAACACAAGTTCATGACTACTTTTAGGAGGTTAGTCACTCAGCTGCCAAAGGCAGCTGAATGAATAACACAGCCAAAGTGAAGTGAGCAGAACACTGTTCAGCTATTCACTTCAGTCTTGTACGGCTGATTTCAGCTGTACATTGGCTAAAATCAGCCGTACATCGGCTGCCTTTGGCTGCCTTCGGTCAGCGGAACATGCTCTGCATGTTCAGCTGAGCCAAAGTGCAAAAGGAGTTCGACTCAGCCGATCCAACTTCTGGATCGGCTAAGCCAAAGCTCCAGCTGCTTATTCTCATAGGGGCCGAATGGCAGTAAGTGAATAGCCAAATGCCGCCGAGCGGCATTCTGCTCGGTACCTCTGAGGTACCGAGCTGAATAGCAAAACAGTTCAATGAATGGGGGGAAAAAATAGTTGAAAAAATATTTTAAAAATGTAAAAAAAAATAGTAAAATTACAAATAAAGACATTTTAAAGAAAATAAAAAAAAACAATTGGCTGGAGCTAGCTGTGACAGCTAGCTCCGCACAACTGTTTCCTATTGGCTGGCACCTTCTAGAGTCTTCTAGCAGGTCCCGGCCAATTAATAACAAATGGGTGGAGCTGGCCATGACTTCAGGCGGCAGAAGAGAGCCGAAGGATCAGCCGAAGCTATGGCTGGATCCTTCGGCTCTTTAGTGAATAATCCCCATAGTTGTTTGTAAAATGACATGTAAATGGAAAGTATGAAATTTGTTTGCAGTAAGTTCAGCACTCCAAATTACTCCGATACCCTTTTGTAAAGGCCCAGATCTTGAAAACCTGGAATAAATGATGAAACCTGGCAAAACTGATGCCATAGTATGGTGAGCTGTTGTTTTGCAAAAGTGATTTGGTGGCACATCAAAAGAGGAGAAACCAGTTTATTTAAAGTGAACACATTTTGAGTTATTGCAGTATTCGTCTTTTTTTTCTCCACTTTTTCCATTTTAAATTCTGTTCTGTTTTTTTAGTTATTAAATATAATGATTTGTGGATAATCTACTACTGTGTGCTTTCATTCCAGTCAGTAATACTGGCCATAAACCACTAGAGTTTCATTCGAAAATGTTTTTGGAATGTTCACTTGATTTTCTTATAGATAATGGGGACGAATCAATGCCTGTTTGCCAGCGCAGTGACAAAATTGTAGGAGTAGGATGGAAATTTGTTTTTCAAAATAAATACAGTGTCAGTAAAATAACAGTGCATGTGGTTTTTGTTATATAAACTCTATTAATTTCCAAAAGCAAATGTTAAAACTAATTTTCAGCAACATTCGTCAAGTCTTTGTTGGCATTATTGAATGTTCTTAGTAGATTTTTCGTATGAACAGTTGTATACAAATCTACCCATGTGTTGCAAACTTGCACATCCATGCTTAACTGTTGAGCTATGATATAAACGACATAAGAAGTTAATTTTTTTCAGTGGGATCGCTGACCTATGGTCCTATGAGAAAGAACAGTAAGGCACAACCATTACATAGCACTGCAAAGCAGGAAGTACAGGCTGAAAATATCATGAGCAAATATGGCTGCCCCTTTGTGTATATGTATAGAATTACGAACTATACGTAAAAAACAATATTCCATAATTTTATAAAACATTTTCAAAAGATTACAATAAAGCAGAGTTTCCTAACTTAAGTATGAACTGTTTATTTTACTTGTCCTTGTTTTGTTTTACAGTTCACATTATGAGGTGCCTCCCAACTCACACCCCCTTTATGGACATGGTGAATGTCGATGGCCTGGCTGTGAAGCTCTGTGTGAGGACATGGGACAGTTTATAAAGTTAGTAGTTCTAGCTATGTTTGTATGTGTTGTTCAGTGTTTGCAAAATATAAGAATATATTAATTGTTACGGGTAGGATGTAGGTGTTATTTTATTGTCTATAGTGGTCTATAGAACAATCTAGGGAGCATCCATGAACAATGCACAATTCATCCAAACTGCAACCAACTGATTAAAAATAACACACATCAAGGCAACATCGTTTTTGCGCGTTTGTACGCATGGGTTCGGTATGCGTTTTTGCACATTTTGACGCGCGTGAAAACGGACATGACCACGCGCGTTTTGACTGCGGTCAATGAACGAACGCAAGTACAAATGTGGATAAACGCGGATGAAAATGAGCAACATGCTTCTGCCCCACGTTTCCTGGCGTTTACATTGACGTTTATAGCGGAAAAACTGGAACTGACAAAAAAGCTCCTTTTTCTGCGTTTTGCGTTTTGCTACTGGCGTTTTGAACAGGGGCCATTGAAAATCATAGGATTTCTTGTGTTGGGCTTTTAAAAGATCAAAAAGATCAAAAACACCTAGGTGTGAACCAGGCCTAAAGGCTATCCTGGACTGCCAAGTTCCTTACTCTGCCATGTTCTGTTTACATCATTGATGTTTATATTTCTGGAATCATTCCACATGTAAGGATAAGTATGTATGTTAATAGGTAAGCAGCAAACATTGTCACAAAATCTCTCTCATGATTCCCTGCCAAAGTGCATTTTTCTTTAATTCTTATTAAAACCCAAAACCAGAAATGTTATATATTGCAACTTACCTGTCCTTAGATATGGTGGCTGCATTAGTTTTCTTTTTTTCAGGGTAAGAACATTTTAAGCAAGTATAGAAAATACTTGTTAGTCTTGCCAGACATGCAGTGTCTTTGTCATTTTCTAAAAAAAAAGCACAAAGAACGTTATCTTTATTGCGTCAAATACTAGCCCCATTAATCCACCATGTAATGATGATGATGAACAAAGCTAGACATGTGCAAACACCATGGCTGCCCCCGGACACAACCGAGAATTTAGTGTAGTCACGAAGGGACTGATGTGCTTGGTTTAGATTGTATGTGATGTTATAGATTTATTCCGTTTGTCTGGGCAGAAACTTATTTTCCTTTTTCTGTAGTTCATAGATTAACCACAATCTTGGATATAAAAGAGACCCTGTCATCAATTTTAACAAAAATCCTAATGCATGGTATTTATCTGTAAAGCCTTTCTTGTGTAGACATCTAAAAGTCCTAAGACCTGTGCTGGCCTCCATCTTCTTGGATGTGATATATGCAGCCCCAGCAGACTCAAAGCTGTCACTCAAGTGATACTGTTCATTATTCTCCTTCTTTCTTCCCCCAGCAACTATATAAAAGGTTAGGTAGAGACGCGAAAAGGGAGGGCAGAGGAGTTTGACCAGCACAGAGAGTAATTAGACACTCCCAGAAGAAGAGAGGACTATGAAATGCTGTGGTGCTAGGGAATTGACTCTCCTAGAGCATTCAAATCTCTGGCACGTTTATAGGCACATTGCAGATGTATTTTTAAAAATAATTTATGGAAAGGGAAAACACTGCAAGTAAGCAATTAAAATGCTTGCCTTTTCTTGGTTTGCTTGCATTTTTGTCAAGTTTGTGACAGGATCTCTTAAAGTTTTTCTTTTCCACTATTAGTCTCAACTTTTTGATCAATAACCTTAACTGGGATGCCCCTAATTCAGCTGACTGTCATTTTTCAAAACTAGAAGGAAGATCTACACTGGATATTGATATGATTGACCAAGTGATTGCTACAGGGATATATTTGTCATCGGTGGATCAATTCTTTTAATGCATATATTAATTTATGTTTGTGAACTGTGCAGGCATCTGAATACAGAACATGCGTTGGATGACCGCAGTACAGCACAATGTCGAGTACAGATGCAAGTGGTGCAGCAACTGGAAATACAGGTGAAAAAATAATATTGATACCTTGTCACATATATTCCCAGAACACTTGCATCACAAATTCTAGTTGACACTTTTTGTATCAAATTTGCTTGGCAAGTCTACAGCAAGAGTCCTGCAGGTCTTAGCAAGAGCTCTGCAAGTATAGAGCACTTTTGCAAAACACTATGATCTGGAGACTTGCAATACAGACAAAATTATGAAGCTTGGCAAGTCTGCAATAGTTTAGCAAGTCATTTTCAAACTTGCAGCTCAATTGCTTGCTATCTGGGTTACTCATGGTGTCATGCATTTGTGAAAATAGTTTTTACTAATAAGTACCCATAGACCTAGAAGTATGGTTATTATAGAAAGGCGCAAGTCAGTTCTTAATGTTTCATCTGTAAAATACTTTTGTTTCTTACTGCATAGATATGCATGTTCATATCTTGTGTCCTTGCCCTGTATGAACCTGTGAGGATGGCAATATTGCTGTCTATTTTCTTTATAGGCAGATTTGAGGACAAGGGATGAGTGAAATTGCTCAATTTTTAAAGAAATTTCACCTACAGGCAACATGCATTGACAGCTATGAAAAGGCGATATTATGGTTGTTTAATGGGTTTGTAAGGCTTTAGTGTACTTTCAATAGCTTTTAAGAGGGTTGTTCACTAATGAGCCGAAGGATCCAGCCGTTGCTTCGACTGATCCTTCGACTCACTTCGGCCGCAGGAGCCCTTCGGTTCAGTTGAACGGCTCAGCCGACCTGAGCGCATAACATTTTCGGCACGGCTGAGCCGTAGTCTCAGCTGAAGTGGGGCGAACGGTCTGCGAAATGACAACAGCTGGGCGGAGCCAGCCGAGTTGTTGTACTGTAATGACATATCAGCGTCCTCAAATGACCTGGGGATGCTGGTCTGTCATTAAATGAGAACACTGGGCTGTCATTAAATGACAACTGGGCAGAGCAACTGTTGGCTCAGCCCAGTTGTTTACATTTGTACGGGACTTGCTGGAAGACTGGCAGGTGCCGGCCAAATGTAAACAGTTGGGCGGAGCTAGCAGGGATGTCACTGCTAGCTCCACCCAATTGTTTTTATTTTGTCAGCATCTGTCAGATTCTTCATTCTGCGGAGGGAGTTCGTCTCGTTAATTTTTTTATTTCGCAGAGTCGCCTCCACCGTGGACACCGCTGGATGTCGTGATTGACCTAGGATTACGTCGGTGGATCCATTTTGTTGTGTTTTAATTTCAATTAAAGGATTTTTTATTAAAATCTGGCCTCTTTTTTAACATTTACTTTAACTCTTTAGCAAATGGGTAGGGGACAGAATGGCATTCACAAGGAGGGGGCAGCATCTGGGTGCCCCTTTATTAAAAGGGGGTACCCTGATGTGAATAAGCCCACCTGCCGAAGTAGAAAATCAGCCGATTGGCTGATTTTAGCCTCTGCATCCTAAAATCAGCCGTACAGGGCTGAAGTGAATAGCCGAACGGCTCACTTCACTTCCGGTCAGTTAGTCACTCGGCTGCCTTTGACAGCTTTGTGAATAACCTTTTGGTGTAGTTTGCTATTTTTGAGGTGTTTTAGACTATATCACCTAAACAAGCGATAGAAAAGAAGCTCACCTATTCTTATCTCATGGTGTCAAGGTTTTCTCATGGTGGCCATTTTCACTATGGGCAGAGTAATCCATCTCCCTTTACTTCCTGGAACTCTGGCACATGTGAATAGGACATGTGACCATGTGCATCATCTCGGGAGAAAAAAAATGCCTTTCCCTGAAATCTCGCAAGATATAGCACTTTACAGATGAGATTTCCCAGCACTGTGATGTAACCTTCCCAGGATGCATCTCTTAGGCAGGGACTACATCCTTAATGCCCAAGAGGACCAGAGAGTGAAAAAACAGTAATTGTAAGTAACAGAAGATATTGAATGCAAGATGACTTCATATCACCATGCAGAGCTACGTGCTGATGTGATTTTAGTGAAAGGGGGTAAAGGTCCACTTTAAGTACTCTTCAGGCCTAAAATGTGCATTTAACATATGTGCAACAAAAGAAAATAAGGGTTAAAGGGCAATTACTCCAAAGACTTTGGTGAATGCAAAATCCCTCAAACCGTCAATTTGCTGTCTAAATGTGGTGAAATTAGAGTAAGTATTTGTTTTTCGTTGGCAACTATAGGGTGTGAACTACATTTTCAGTATGAAATCAAACACAGCCATGTTGTAGTATTCATTATTTTTCCTGGAATTCTTGTCTGTCTGTATGCATTATTAACTTTATCCGACTAACAAATAGTTTATGTGATAGCTGTCAAAAGAAAGTGAACGCCTGCAAGCCATGATGACACATCTACATATGAGACCGTCCGAACCAAAACCCTTCAGTCAACCAGTGAGTCATCAAATACCCTGGCTGTTTTTTTATATTTTCTTCTAAACATTGCTTAAATGGATGTCTGAATCCTTCCTTTGACACCTTTATTTTACAATATTTCCCAGCTTAACCTGGTTTCCAGTGCATCTCTTAACAAAATGTCCCTGGACACCTACCTAGATGGCTTGCCACAACCCCCAACATCAGCAACAGCACCCATCACTCCGGTGCGAGCTGGCACATCTGTGATTAGCTCTTCAAGCCTATCTAGCATTGGTCCTGTGCGAAGAAGGATAGTGGACAAATTCTGTACACCAATATCTTCAGGTAAACACCACTAAGCCTTTAATGTTTTAGTTGTCTCTTTAGTTACAGATCATTTTTACTAACAGTTAGAGGTGCACCGAAATGAAATTTTAAAACCAAAAATTTTTAAAAAGTTTTTTTTCTAACCTTTTTACATTTTTTTAAATATTTTAATTAATGTTTTTCTAAACTCTTACCTTTTTTTATATTTTATTTATTAAATATTTTTATACTTTACTGTCAGGGGCTCTGGAGAAATATCAGGGGTCTAAACAGACCCCTGATATTTACCTTTTAAAATAGAGAAAGAGATTGAGGACACAGAGTCCTCAATCTCTTTTTCTGCATCCCCAGTATAAATGAATAGGAAGGCTCTATAATTACAATCACAGTGACGTTCATTCATAATTGGGGACACAGTAAACATACTCTGTCCTCAATTATTTACAAACAGTCAGTGATCACTGATCGCTGACTGCCTGGACCCGCTCTCCATCCTGACTCGCTGTCACAGGAGGCAGAGCCGGCGGTGCGGGGGAGGAGTCAGCTGTCAAATAGACTGAGCTCTCCTTCCCGCACCACCGGCATGGCCTCCTGTGATAGCTGTCTCCGCCCCCACACCGCTCTCCATCTTGATCTATCACAGGAGGCTGAGCGGGGAGGGGAGGAGAGCTTATCATCCTGTGACAACAACAATGATACCGCTCTCCTCCCCGCCCGGCCTCCTAACAGTTTCTCTCCTCCATGATGGCGCAGTATCAGAGGGGACACAGAGCAGCGCACAGCTAGGAGGAGAGAAACTGGGAATGCACTGCAATTTCAGCCAAAAGATGATACTAATAGTAGTACTCCAGCTTGCAAAAATTTACAGTTACTTAAAGTGGAACCACAGCCAAAATGTTTTTGTTAGAATGAGGTGAGTAAGATCCTCTGTCAGGTTTTCATTTTTTTTCTGTGTTTTTATTACAGAGATTTCCTCTCACCCTGTGTCCTAAATGCACAACACAAAGTGAGACACATTTTCCATAAAGTGAGAGGAAATGCCACCTTTGGCAGTTGTCAGTGGAGCAGGTTCCCCTTTTGGGAGATTTCCCCACTTTTGTTTCAGTGGCATTTGAAAGTCTCTTCACTCTTTGTTCTGGTGATAAATATCTGTGAACTGTGAACTGAACAGAAAGTGAAGTCTACTCACATCTTTCAGGACTGCAATTCCAGTCTGTGCGGGGTGCTTCGTATTGTCAAACTTGCCAACATGCCTGAAAAGATTGGCGGACCTTACACTGCTCTGATGCAGCTTCTTTCTCAAAGGGGTCATAGCCATTTTTACGGAAAAGGAGAGTTCTTTTTCTCAAGCTTGTTAATTGTTCCCTAAGTCCTGAAGGGGGATCTACCCCACAGTAGAGCTAAAGGTTCTCAACTTTTTCTTTTGGGTACAAAAATTCTGCATGGAATCTGCTTCCCTCCATTCAGGAGACCCTCTGGCGTTTGTGGACATGAAAGTTACCTACTTGAACGTCTCCATTTTTTTTACACTTCAAGGCTCCCTGCATTTTGCTGTGGCCATGCAACAATAAAGAATTGTTGCCCTTTCCTTTGGCCTGTGCACTGCACCTCACGTCTTACCAAGGTGCTAGTCCCAGCCTTTACTTTTCTCTCAGCTCATACCCATGGTGGGATATCTGGACGACATTCTTCTGAAACAACAGTTGACTCTAGCTCTGTCAGCCAATGTCCAATGTGCTATGCACACTGAAGAGATTCTGATGGATCCTGAATCTTCAGAAGTCGGTGCTGCACACATCTTATCGCTTAGAGTATCTGGAGCAAGCCAACGCTCTATTTTTGCACGAGGATCTTAGGCCTCATAGTGTCCTCCTTTGTGGCAGTTCCATATTCCCAGTTTCACTTCAGACCAGCTTAACATTCTGGCGACATGGGACAAGGGAGCACAGTCTTGGAATCATCCCATCCACCTAACCAGAAGGACTAGGCTTACCCTGGCTTGGTGGGTCACAAGTCCAACATTGGAATTGGGAAAATCCTTTATCTCAATGGTTTTGAAGGTTCTCATGATGGATGACAGTCTTTTGAATCTTAGGTGCCGTCACAGTACAAGTGACTTGATCATTGGAGGAAGCTCACCTCCCAATATTCTGGATCAGAGTCTGGCTTAGGCAGAACATCACATTTTAGCCCTGTATGCTGTGGAGGATATTCAGTTGCACCAAATTGGCCCAGGAGGAAGTGGTACTTAAACCTTGTCAGGCTTTTGGCTAACTCTACATGGGCCCTTCCAGATCATTCAACTCTTCTTTCCCAAGGGCCGGTTTACCACCCTGCTTCTCAGTCGCTGCCATTCAATGGCCTGGCTGTTGAAGCCCAGGTCCTGAGGTACAGTGGACTGTCAGATTTGTTCATCCCTATACTCCTGAAAGCTAGGATAGCACCTTTTTGCAAAGTCTACCATCACACTTGGAAAGGGTATTTTTCTTGGTACAAGACAAAGAAATTCCATCCCAGCAGTTCTCCTTTGGAGGAATCCTGTCTTTTTCCAGTCTAGTCTGGATCACGTCCTTAGCAGTTCTGTTTCAGAGACCACCTCCTGTGCATTCCCCAGTGACTATGTTTAATATCAACCTGGTTTTTATGCCCTATCAAGGAAATTCCCCAGTATGACCTTACTCATAAGGTTGCTTTTCTTGTTGCCATCACTTCTACAAGGTGTTTCTGAGTTGGCGGCCTTAATCTGTAAAGAACACAAGGACAAGGTTACTTTGTACTGCAGCACAACTGATTTGCAACTTGTGCTGCTTCTCCCTCTCGCAGTCCGAGCTCTGCTGTACAGGGGATTGCAAGAGGCTGATACCAAGTCAAATTGTGATACTGGTTTCTTTTTAAAAATCACTTTTTTGTTTTAATGAAACTGCATGAATTGGTATTTTTTATTTGCCTTTAAAATGTTGCGCAATGTTTAAAAATCGTTACATTTTTATTTATTTTATTCATCTCTTCACATTTCTTGAGCATGTTTTCTTTCCACTAAGTTTTAACCATCTTGTCTCATGTGAGAAAGGCTAGGCCCACATACAAATACTAGGAAAGGAAAATGTTTCTTTTGCCTAAACAACCACAGTCCAGCTATAATTGTTTTCTAGGTGGGATTATAAAGTGAGTCACTAAGGACAACTCATCTACTTTCCTTCCAGTTTTTATAGTCTATATAATGTGAGCAGCTTAACCACACTTTGGACTTTTGATTATTAGAAGAATGTTATGAGAGAAACGGGATTTTCAAAAAATTGCAGTATTATTTGCTGTTTTCCAGTTTGTCAGTTAGCTGCTTGGGCCGATTAAAATATGGAGAAACGGAGCCAATACGCAGGCCCCAAATGTCATTTTCCTTATTATTGTAATTATTATTAAACACAGGATTCGTTTGATGTATCTCTTGGATTGGGCACATTGTTGGAATTTGTTGTGTGTGTCTATGGTAAATCTTGCAATTATTATAGTATTCACCATGTAATGAACGTTGTGTTTTTCTTAACAGTGTTGTGTGACACTTGTTATCTTTGTGCAAGTTCTATGCTGTGTCACCTGATATATTAAAAACTATGTGCACAAGGCTTTGTTTGCTACCATTTCCAGGGTTATTCACAAAAGGGTGAAGAGTTTGGAGAAGGCAGGAGAAGTGAACAATCTGGGACAACATAGCTGCACTGAAAAGTGAGCTGAATTGGAGAATTTTTCCAAATCGGCTATTTTGCCATAGATTGTTCACTTCTCCTGCCTTCTCCAAACTCTTCACCATTTTGTGAATAACCCTGTTTAGGTTTTAATAAATAGTTGCCATTGTGTCTCTTATTTTTTTGTACTTTTTATTTTCTATGTTCTGACTTAGAGCTTGCACAGAATCATGAATTTTATAAAAACGCTGAAGTCCGTCCACCGTTTACATATGCCTCACTCATACGACAGGTAAGAGCTCTGAGGAAAGAGTGAAATTATAGGAGGGCACCTTGTATATTGAGGTCATATTCTTAATGCATTCCCAATTTCTGATTTTTCCTACAGGCTATTCTAGACACACCAGACAGACAGCTGACTTTGAATGAGATCTACAATTGGTTTACTCGAATGTTTGCTTATTTCCGGAGAAACACAGCCACATGGAAAGTAAGTTATCACAGTTTTAGAATGCTAGAAGTTTACTACTTTGGTGCAGACTTTTGACACTTGTTAAATGTGTATGAAGGAGAGGCTTGCCTTGTACTGTGAACACAGTAATTGTTACCGCCCTTTGTATTGGTAAGGAGCTAGCAAGAGGGTTTGTGGGAGTTTTACAATATTTACAAAATGTATGATGCTGCAAAGTTACATCATTATAGAACAATGGATTGTAAAACTATCACATTACTTTATTGGTTACATATGTATCATCATAAAAATATATCTTTACATTTTGGGAAGGAACATAGGGTTTGAATATGTTACACTTGCCTATGTATTGTAGTAGGCAAACAGTCAAAGCAGTGGTATAGCTTTTGTTCATAATAATATAGGAAAGTAAGGAAACCACTACAATTATTATAGTGGGCATATTATTAGAATGAATACTTCAAATGAATCAGGGTCAGCATTATCAGATAATTGTTATTCTCAGCAAAAATAACGATTGCTCTAAAAGTATAGGCATCCAGGATCACAAGATTTCCTACAACCATAAGCATTTTTAGCGTGTCACATTATTAGAGAATGCTGAGTTTAATATTTTTAATTAGACAGGCCCTGTTTGGTTGACCTGCAGTGAGGTGAGAGATTCACCAAGGCACAATCACTGTGCAGCCCTACTAAGCTGAAGCAGACCCTGCATAAATAATAACCAAATACTGGTGCCTCTATATACTTGTATAATTACAAACAGGGCCAGCCTTAGGCCTTTAGGCACCCTGTGTGAGAAAGCTTTACAGTGCCCCTCAGTGACTACTCCCCTCAGTAACTACACCCCTCAGTGACCACACTCATTTCTCCAATACCCGCACCATTTAAAGCCTCCCATTTTGTTAAGCCCCAAAGAAACAGATCAAAAAGTATAATAAAAAAACCTTTTATTCAAACAATATAAGTATTCTTATTAAATAAAACAGTAGGAAAACAAGTGGTAAGCAAAATTCAGGGGGCTTTGGTAAAATATCAGGGGTCTAAACAGAGTCTGTTTTTCTGCAGCCTCAGCACTGAATGAATGGAAGGCACTCAGTACAGAGGCTTCCCATTCATTCACAAACTGGCGATAGTAAATATTACTATCAACCAGTTATGATTGGATACAGGCCTCTGTACTGAGCTGCTTCTACTCATTCAGAAACTCATGAATTAACAGGAAGTAATGTAAAGCACTTCCTGTTCATTCGTAACTGGGGACACATAGTACTACCTATCCCCAGTTGTTTACAGATATTGGAGTGATTAGCGATCACTCCAGTGTTTGTGCTGCACACAGAGAATCAGTAAATATTACACATATTTACCGATCCTCTGCTCTCCATCCTAAAAGTGACAGGAGCCGCTCGGCCATGCACAGAGCCACTTGGCCATCTTGGATTTGGCGGCTCTGCAATTTTCTCCCTGCTCGTCCATCCTGATGACAGCGCTCCCTCCTCCACCCCCTACTGGCTTCAGCGCTACATTTCTCCTCGGATCACAGCTGTCTCAGCCCATACAGGCGGGGGAGTGCAGCAGCGATCTGAGGAGAAGCTGCAGGATGTGCTGCCCCTCTACTCCCTGCTGCCCTGAGGCCATGGCCTTGTGGGGAATCTGGCTCTGCCTGCAGCCTGTGTCATAGCAAGCTGTGTCGGCCGCCTGGTGCCCGTGTTGCCATGGCGCCCTGTCTGTTAGTCCAAGTTATTTCTCCTGTTCTGGTAATATGTTGGCTCACCTGCTTTCTTTATGGTGGATGATTGGTTGTCCTCCACATTGCAAGTTGAAGTCTTATCATTCTTTCAGGCAGCAGTTTCCCCTTAATGGTGATTGCCAGTCTTGATCTGGAACACCAGGTTGATCCTCAGTGTCCTTCCTTTGGTCGTGCCACTTTCCACACTTGCTTTGACCCTTCTTAATCTAGTTTTCATTCAAGAGCTGATTCCTTCAGATCTTCATAGTAGTATTTTTAAATCCATTTAATCTATTGCCCACTTGTTAGTTGGACTGCTTTCGGACCTTCCAAATTTCAGATAATTACAACATTCCTGTGTCCCTTAATGGAGAATAAAGCAAATAAAATTTTGTATTTACCATGAAATCTTTTTCTCGAAAGCCCACTTAGGGACACAGGTCCTGCCATCTGTCTTCAAGTACTGCTTGTTCACAAAACTGAGGCATGATAATTGGAGTCAGGGTTATACAGGAGCTGGCTTAACACTTTTTTAGCCAGTGTTCAAACCTCCTGTAGGCGGCAGTATAACCAAAATGTCTAAGATTGAATTCATTCCTGTGTCCCTCAATGGACTTAACAGAAAAAGATTTTATGGAAAGTACAAAAATAATTTGTTTTATTATGATTATTATCAATATTGGGCCAATGTATTTTTTTGGTGTGTGTGTGTGTGTGTGTGTCTGTCATTGTCCTGCTTAACAACAAGTTATATTTTTCCTTTCATTTTTGATTACTTACATAAGAAAAATAACATCTATTTTTGACTAATTGCTTATGAGATATTGTATGCTTTGATTTGTTTTGTATTTATAATTCTTTCAGCTAGTTTGGCTTTTTTTAAATGATTTGTACATTCACGTAATTTTTTTTCCCGTAACTCTTGAACATGTTATTTATTGTCTTTATTTCTCTTTCCTGTGCTTTGCTTCTGTTTCTCATTCTCCTTCTATACCCCCCTCCTGCCCATCTGTCTCAGCTCTGCTTGCCTAACCCCCAACTGACCTCTCAAATTGCTGTTAATGTTTTAACCTAACGAATTAGTCTCTCATCTCCAGCCAGGGCTTCTAACTAGAGAAAGGGCCGCTGCTTTGAAATTGGGGTCATATTTGTGTGTGGGAGTGTCAGAAAAGGGCCGTATTATGCACATGTTGCAATTTGTGCCCTGCTATTAACTCCTTGCTAATCAGAAATGGTATAGGTATTGCCTTATGAGAAAATATACAGGGTTTAATTAGCAGAATATTATGAGTAAAAGGGCAACAGAATATTCTATATTAGCTATGCTTAAAATATGCCAAGACATGTTGGGCTTTGGTAAATTAACCTATGGCTGCCAAGCTGTGATGATAGCATGTATAAAATTATTTTGGATAATGTGTGGTGCTTTCAATATTTGAATTTCCATCCCACAGAATGCTGTTCGTCACAACCTGAGCTTGCATAAATGCTTTGTGCGTGTGGAGAACGTGAAAGGAGCAGTTTGGACAGTGGATGAGCTGGAATATCAGAAGAGGAGGCCGCCAAAGATGACAGGGTGGGTTCTTGGAAAAACAAATCCATATTATCTTAACAAAGCGGTGCTAAACTAGTGGATTTGTACATTTAGTGAGAAAGAGATTATAAAACAGATTATTAGATGCAAGCATTATTAAAGTCTACAGATGCTGGATATTAAAGGAACGGAGTATAAAGGAAAATAGTATATGATCCTCTTAAAGCAGATGCTCTATCAGTAAAAGTTTATCTATGCGTCATCAGTGAAAGTGAAAGAAAATCTCAAATTTGAGGATGTCACCAGATCAGGAAATTATGGAAAAATCATCCATGGGGACACTAGCTCTGGTGACCTTGCTGACCACCAGGGAATTCCCTTACTTCTTGTTGTGGAAGTGAAGGGAAATCTCCCTAAGGACACAGATGGCCAAACAAAGCTTTCAGGGGTTATAATCCTTGTCTACTACAATGTGCTTGCAGGTCATGGGACTCCAAAGTGACCTCTTACATTTTATTTTAAATTTCAATTTTTCTAAAACAAAACCCACATCCTGGTGCAGGGGCTAGCACAGCCTCACAAACATTCCATGTTTATAAGGGTTTTTTGCAGGCCCACAAAATATTAAGATTTTTGTACTTACGTAAAATCTTTTTCTTGAAATCCATTGAGGAACACTGGATAGCAGTTATTCCTGGACATGTGGGTTATACTGCCATCTTCAGGAGGCTTGGGCACTGGCAAACAAAAAATTATAAGCCAGCCCCCATACAACCCCGCTTCCAATCGTCATACCTCAGTTTTGAGAGCAAGAAGGCCTAATAACACAGACCTGTGTCCCTCGATGGACTTCAAAAAAAGATTTTATTGTAAGTACAAAAATCTTATTTTCTTTACTGTCCATTGAGGAGCACATGATAGTTGTAATTCCTAGACATGTGGGAAGATAAGGATGGAAGAGGATTAGAGGATCAAGGACTTGCAAAGCTGACTCATATTAGATTTGCTAATGTAGGCTCCTCAAGAGAAGGCTGGGAGAATGCTGATTGGCTGGGAAGCTGCCAATCAGCATCGAGCGGGCTCTGGCCAATCAGGAAGATGGGAGGCTGGTCATTGCTCTCCGCCCAGCTTCCTGATCGCACGGGAAGCTGGCTCCATGTTCCCCTACGGCACTACCGCTCAGAGGAAATCTTCCTCTGACCGAAAGTTCCAGTATCGGGGAATGCATCAGAGCATTTGGGCGTGTACGAGTACTCGCCCAAATATATGGTATCAGCGCCGATACTATAGTATCGGTATCGGTGCATCCCTAGTTTGTTCTATGCATGTTTGGGTTATAGCAGTATAGTTTGATTTGCTGTCATCCTTCAGTCAACTATAAATACAGGAATACACCATCTTTCCAGTGGGCCATATATAAGTGATGCTATTGAATGCTAGTGCCGTAAACCTTTCTTTTTTTTACATATTTTGCTGAGTGTGGGACGTAAATGACTCCATCTCCCAGCATAGGAACAATGGGAACCAAAAACCTATAGCACAGTGGCACAGCATAAGTCCATATCTGCAAAACATTTTAAGTAATTTGACTTGCTACTGCTTTTAGGGAAGGACTGCTTCTAGTCAGCAGCTTTGCTTTACAGTTTTCTCTACAGCAAATATAGAATAATAAAATGATGTAAGGGGTGCCTAACAGGGGAACAATTAAAAAAAATGAAGGGATTTGCACTGCCCAAAATATAAATTCAACAATTTAGTTATGGCACGTAGCTATATAGAGTAATACATTAGATAAAAATCTAATTGGATTTAATAATGCATTTCCATGTATTCTGTGAAATATGGTGCTGTAATGCCAAATGTCTCCAGCAGGTGGCAGCACAGATTCACTGCTTTGGTTTTCTGTAAAAATGTCCTCTAGCACAGTTTTTTCTAAACTTTATTAACCTCTTTATGACCCAAACTCATTAACGCATAGATGCCTAGATCAAAGTATAAGTATAGTATAAGTAGTATGAGAATGCATGGGCTAATTTGACAATTACTCTATGACTAATTGCTTACCTAAATCATTTCTAAATTGCCTTTTAAACACTTCAAGACCAGGTGTTTACACCCCCTTCCTGTCCAGGCCATTTTCAGTATTCAGCGCTGCGGTACTTTGACTGACATTTATTCCGTCATGCAACGCTGTACTGAAATTAATTTTATAGCATTTTTTGGGGACAGATAGAGCTTTCTTTTGGTGGTATTTAATCACCACTGGGTTTTTTTTCTTACTATATTAAGGAAAAATTACTGAAAATTTTGGGGGGAAAAGTATTTGTTTTCCATTATATTAGGAAACAATGATTATTACCCACATTTTTGGTAAAATATAAAAGATGGGGTCACGTCGGGTTAATAGACACCAAACATGTCAAGCTTTAAAATTGCGCGCACCCATGAAATCGCAAAAAACTACCATACCCAAAATTGACCATAAGTGACGCTTTAAAAGCTTTTACCGCTCATCAGAATTAGAATTATTGCTCTCATTCGGACGTTCGCAACGATATGTAACATGTGCGGAGTAATGGGCACAATCGTCGTTTTCGAACGTATGCACACCCGGTGCCTGTTTGCATGCGAGTATGTATGGTGGGGACTTTAAAAAAAAATGTAATTCTTTTTTATGTGTAACTTTAACTTTTGGGGGGGAAACTTGGAAACTTTAATTTTTTTTCCTATTTTTTTTCTTCACTTAAAACCCCCCTATGTTATAGCTAAAGAGGTGACAGGTCCTCTTTATGGAGACATCAGGGGTCTCCAAGACCCCTAATGTCACCTAGGACCCCCCTGAAGAAGCTGATGAAGCAGAGATCTGCTTCATCAGCTTCTCTCCAGCATTTGAAGCTGGAGAGTGACACAAGAATGCGGAAGTGATGTAATATACATCACTTCTGCATTCTGACAGTGGAGAGGGGACCGGAGGGAGGTGGTATACCGATCTCCCTCTGATCCCATGTGACAGAGGCAGTATGCTGGTCCCGGGCTCGCACCGGGCACAGCGGAGCCTGGGACCACCGTGACAGCAGGAGGGTGGGAGGGGCGCACATACCGGGACCTCATACAAGCAATCCGCCGGCTCTATAGCCGGCGGATCGCTTGTACGTTAACAGGCATCGCTGCCTCTTTTTAAATATCGTGCATTTCCCGCTCGCGCACGCCCAGCGGTGCGTGCGAGGGGGCGTGGCTGAGCGGACGTCTAAAGACGCCTGCTCAGATCTAGAGAGCTCCTGGCCGGCCTTTTTTTTTACAATGGCCGGCCGGGAAGTGGTTAAGGACATATGTAGCTTAAAGTTGGCAGACTGTTTTAATAAATAGCCTTCTTAGGTTTTTATTATAGGCGGACAGAAAAAAAATAAAATAAAATTTAGTTTTATTACTTTTTTACAGTACTTGTTTTCTTTAAGAAAACTGTATTTTACTCGCTTTGCATACAGGGAAATACAGCTATTAGCTAGAGCATGGAGAGGTTTGTTTACTATCAAAAATCATGTGATCACAGCAATCATGATAATATGATTAGGAGCAAAGCAGACAAATTCCAGATTGTTAGTGGGACCAGAGCTGTCAGGGATGGCCCATTTTGACAACTACCAGGAGGCACAGTGTGTGTTGTCCTAATATGGAACATAGAATAACATTCCCTTGACACAAGTATATTAATCTACAAATTATGGACACCTAGCAGGTAATATTTGTACCATTGTTAAAAAAAACCCCAGCCTTTGCCAAGTAGCTTCTGTTGTTATTTTTCTCAATAACCCCTGGACATGGGTGCGTTCATCATTGATATACCGAATACATAATGCATGTAAAAATGTCCAAAACTCCCTTGTGCTTTTAATTCACTAAAATATATCCCAAAGTCTGTTATTTACATGATCTGTAATTTTCTAAAACTCTATGCTGATATGATCAATTTACTTTACCAGGCAGACATTCCCCCTGGAGTTCATGAAGCACTGGTTGAGAAACCGTGCTCTAGCATATCACTTTCTCTTGTCGTTCAAGTTACCTGTTTTGCACATAAAATTTTTTTATCAAAAACTATTTTCTGTAGTTTTATTTAACTCTTTGCACATAATAAAAACATGACGTGTGTGATTTGGTACAATTATCTATAACCAGATATTTTTTTTCATTTCTTGAAATAACACAGAAGTCCTACACTTGTTAAAAACATGATTTCCGGCCTGGGCTATGGAGGGTTAAACGCCAGTTATCAGGTACGTTAGAACTCCATGACAATGAACTTGCTGTTTGTCTATGCAGAAGTTGCAGCTGGCCAAAGAACTGCTTCACTCTGCAATATACTGTATTTATATCACAAAAAAAAAAAAATGTGTAGTCCATCTATAACCTCTAGTTTTTTAGAGTGATCAACAGGTATTTTCAATGCAAGTATGCATGTTACTGTCTCAAAAGAAATGTAATGCACCACTTTTTTCATGGCAAATGCAGACGGGAAGCTGGATTTATCGTGCACCCTGCTATACAATGTAGGCATGGGGGGTGACAGAGATTTTTACATAATTCTCTAAGCTCCTGCAGATAGAGCAATATGCTTTACAATGTAAAGGGCTGTGGGTGGAGCTAAGTGTGACTATTTACTGATAGGACTATCAAAGGTGCCAACATCTAAGCAGCCACAGCAGCGGTAAGGGTGAAAACGCTGCAGTGATTTCACAGCAGAAGGTGTTGTTACCCTCTAAGTGTTTATGCAGTGATTTTACTGGCAGGATCAACAGGTTTTACATGTTTCACGGAGTGGTTAGAAAAACAGCAAGTCTAGTATCTCTGGTATGGGCAGCGTACATTACATATGTTCTTTTACAGCTTGACCATAGTTCTACTTTAATATGTCTTCTAACTGTGCACTAGTAAACCACACACCATATATAATGGGGCTTTTAGGGGCCCTTATTGCATTTTTTTTTAAAACAATATTTATATCTGCAAAAATGTAAACAACATAATGTCCGTCTAAATCTAAAAGATAAAATTGTACTGAGTTAATAACAAATATTTGTACATTTTAAATTGCACCTTTTTGCGAAATAGTAAAAAACACAGAGCACAAAACTAAATTACACTACACCTGATCTGCAGTCCCGTTTGTGTGCTGTGTTGGTATGTGTTGTGATAAAATGATGCAGGCATACATTTAATCGCAATACAGTGTGTCACAATCTCTCAGTCTCTTTTTCTGCCTACCCAGCACTCAGTACAGAAGCTTCCTGTCCATTCACAAACAGGATATGAATATGCCTGCTTCATGTATATTCGGTGTACATTTCTGGCGTGTTTTTTTTTAAATACCTCTGCGAAGGTGGAAATGGGCTTTAAAAAAAGGGGCATATTTGTAAATGTGTCAAATTCTCATCACAACATGAACCAAATGTATACAGCATTGTAGACAGCTTTTGCCTGTTTTCACCTGCTTGAGCAACATTTACCAATATTTATATTCTTCGACATGTAATTAAAATGACATTAACATTTCACATTTACAGAATTGTCTTATAAAATCATACAACATTTTCATACGGGGAATCATTGATATACTAAACAATTCCCTTAATAGAGCCAACATGCTCACTTTTCTTAAATCCATATTCACTGTACTCCAAGAAAAGACTTTAGACTGAATATTTTTTGGCAAACACTTGGATCCACTCTCTGAACCTGCCACCAGAAAATTACATAATGTGTTTAAAATAGTAAAGTAATTGACAGGATGTTGGATCAAATCTAGACATGTAAGTGTAGCTGGGCTTTGACCATTTTGTTTTATAAATTTGCCTCTAGGAATATTCAGATTGTGACTTGTGAAAATTCATCTTTGAGATACTGATATTAGGGGGCAGTGTTTGCCTTAATATGTTCACTTTGGTAGTCATATTTATATATGTTTAAAATATAAAAGTGTTTTCCTGCCTATAATTGTAATTCATTTGCAATTCGCTTTCTGCACAGGCTGCACTCGCTGAGAGTAGTTTCCCTCTGATGAATAGTCCTCCAACCCTCAACAGTTCTGGCAGTGGGCTTCATGGTGGACATGACGATGTTACCAGCACTGGAGAGCCTGGAAACAGTAATGGCAGCAGCCCACGTCTGTCTCCTCAGTACAGGTAATACTTCTTTTTCAGCTGTGCCCATAAGAAATGTAAGGGGCAAGCTTTATACTAATACATTCTTTACCTTCTCATTTAGTGTACCTTAATTCAGTAGAGTAAGGAGGGTTTAGATGCTCTGTCAGGTTTTAATTACTATTTGAGGCCTCATGGGGAAGATTTATTCAAATGACAATGTGGTCACCAGATAGCAAGTGAAGGAAAATCTACAGAGAGAATACGCACAGCAATAGAAACCTAATGGGGTAGAGTGTCCCCCTACTCTACTAAAAATTATTTTTTTATTCCTGTGTGTGCCTCTGTTGTTTGTTTTCATGTCCTGTGACCTTGGCCCCCCAATCCAAAATCTAAAAACTGGTTTAGATAGAGATACTTTGATGTTTATTGCTGTACTTTTTTTATTTTAGTCAATCGGTTCATGTCAAAGAAGAGCCAGCTGAAGAGGAAGTAAGGCCTGCCTCCCTCTCCAACCAAAACACAGTGCTGTCAGAGGAAAATGACTTGGAACCAGAGACAGTTATGGAAGACTTGTCCTAATAGTTTCAGCAGCCAGAAGTTACCTCCTCTGCCCCAAAGTCCAGCACTTCCATCAGAGACCAACATGACCCTCTACCTTAATTCTGCTCAGTTGAAGCTGACAAAGACTTCAAACTTGACTGCCTGCCATCTCCTGGGTCTTCCTCTGTCTGGCAGCACTTCACGTCAAAGACTTATGGACTGCAGAGTGAACCCCACCATCCTTTTCTTCTTAACCAGATATGGAAAGGGCACTGATACTTTTGTGACCATATTTTTATTGGGGGGGAGGGAGGGTTAGTAAATCCCTTGAACACCCCTTTGCATTAGGGGGGCTATAAAATCTTTTCATAGCAGAATTTAGGAGAACTGGACTTCTTTCTCCACCCTACAATGCAACGCAGTACTGGGTGTCCGTTATGAAGTACCCTTTACTAGCTATTCTTTTCTGGTTGTTTCTGAAGGTACCAAAAAAGTAGACTTTTGTTTTATTTATTTTTTCTGTGTGTTTTGGATCAGTGTTACTGCTGGCATTCCTCACACAAATGTGTGTATTTGGTACGTACACTCTGAAATGGATGCATACACCTCCAAAATAACCACCTACATACAATTCTATACAAACACTAGCTTTAGACAAATGCACATGACGAAGAACACTGTAGCTTGTGCCTTGGAGGGAATATGCGCACCACATAATAGGACAAGCGCTGCTTCATATGTCTGGAACATTCAAAACATTGTTTGCACTCACCTGTTTTTTAGAAATGCCACATAGATATATTTTGTAACTACAGTACATCACTCTCACTAAGGTGCACATGAAAGACCAGTAATTGCACCAGTTTTGCCCCAAATGAATGAACCTATAGTAAAAGAAAGTCAAGCAAATGGTTTTATAAATCACATTAATTGAAACTAGTTCGCCATTGGCTGTTTGCCCAATCATTTTGTCCTGGAGCGCCCTCTGCCAAGATGTTAGAAATGTCTAAGTTCGCCATTGGCTGTTTGCCCAATCCTTTTGTCCTGGAGCGCCCTCTGCCAAGATGTTAGAAATTTCCCACAGAAAAGCAGGGCTTATAGGCACAACCCCTACTGTAAAGCAGTAAAAAATATCAAAAATCAGAATTTACTGAAGTCAGATCAGTTGATTAACTTTTAGGTGGCTATTACATATTAGAGCACTTTGCATATCCACATGGCTCTTTCCATTGCTTAATTGAATATGCTTATTAGTGTGCATGTAGAGTACTGTGGGAGTACCGTAGGAAAACAGGACAGGCACAGGAGTTAAAGCTGATTAGTAAACTTCCCATAACAATTCTTAACTTTCATAAACATAGCACTTATGAACAGACATTTACAGTATATATTATCATTGCACATTGCGCTACATCACTAACAGAAGCACTCTCAGACATTAAAAAATACTTTTTGGGCTGTGTCTTAGGACAAATGTTTTTTGGGGGACCAGGTATTCTAATATGTAATCCAAGTACAAAGGTTATTATGTAAATGCTTAAACATTCTTGAAAATAATGTTAACCAAACATTTTTTTGCCATACAAATTTACTTGATCATAGGGACATATTGATCATATAGCACATATGAACTTCCTTTGCCCAAACACTTTGTTCACAATTATTCCACTGTTGTTATCGACATTAACACTGCCCTAACACATAGCTCTTTTGCAAGTGAAGGGCTGATAGGACCCTCCATCCTGTGTGCTGCATCCGCTTACCCCTCCCTGACCAAAGATACCTTTTCATGCCAAATAAACCAAACCACCTCTTGCTTTGGCTTTATTTTCCTTATACACTAAAGAAAATACAAAGGACGCCCCTAAACCAAAAGGTACTAATGTATTTATGACAGTAAGTGTTACTGTCCCTACCCACTTTCCCTACCCTGATCTCACCTCACCTTGTATCTCTTCAGCTTACATTCATACACTGTGAGACCTGGCATCAGTGAGTCCATAATTACGGCCATGCACTTTGTGCAAAAGTCTGTTGACTGTGAAAAATAATCAGTGTGATTTTTTTTTTTTTTTTTTGAGTGAACACAAAGTATAAGTATTCATTTTGATTATGTACAAGTCATATACCAGTGTGAATGGCGAGTGTTAATGTATTACACGCTGATTGTGGTGTGTGCATTTACACTCAGTAAGTGTGAGCTTACATTATTCTGTGAGATTTTATGCTGTAGGTCAGGTGGATATTTTTCACTTAAACTAGATACACATTTTTTTAACAAGTGTACATGGCATTCCATGTGCACAACAGTAACTAAGAGTATTTACACACTGCAGACCTTTCGTGTGCCCTTTCTTCAAAATCTGGCCTTGTCTTGTGTCACAATACTGCTGGTTGGTGGGAGAAGAAAAAGGCTAGAAGGGGTAGGACTTGTTACCTCAACAGCGCTGGGGTTCTCTGTCTAAAGAATCCAGCACTGTTCCAGCATCACGTGTGCGCCTGGTGCATATTCCTCGTGTAAAATAGGTTTTAGGTGCATGAAACAAAATGTATGGATATTGCCATATAAAATGCAATAAATATAATTCTGTCATATGTGCTGCTACTTGTGTAACCACAGCAGAGTTTGTAAATTCAGTATGCTATGCTCGGTCGATTACATGATGCACTGTGCAGTATACAAAATCACAAACGCCTAAAACATAACAAATGTAGCTATAAAACTATGTGTTGCCCAAAACACCTAATCAGATTCTTCATTTTCTAACAGCTAAAATCACATAATAGACACTTTTATTTATCTACATGAACAATATATATATACCTGCAGTTTTAAAGAACAAAACCTCTTATTTTCCCAGTTCAAATCATTGCAGTTTTTCAAGTCAGATGGGTGGATAGGTGACATAAAACCAAGAATAGACATTCTTTATACTCTTTAGCTCACGTGGTACCAAAATTTAAGAAGGAACATGAAAACTGTTTCCCTTACAGTGCCACAAACTCTCTCCCCACCCCACTGCAGGGGTTGAATAATTATTTTGTTTTTGGGCTTGTTTTGCATGTGGGTAGTCCCTCACTGTCCTCACATATAATGCAGTGATGTCAGGCATGCAGTTGGGAAGAAGCCTGCCGGATGTCCTTAAGAAAGGAGTATTAGACTACTTACCAGTCATAAATTGTGAGATCTTTGTATGCATATAACCAGGTTCTTACTTAAGTAGATATACCAAAATGGTAATAATGAAGTAATGTGTAGGTTGACCTAAACTGATTAAATGAAACAGAATCAGTAAAAGTTCACAAGGGACAACCATACCTAAAAGTATTGATTCTTGGGCTTGTTTCTTAGTTGCAGTTTCGATCTTGGTGGTGTCCTTCTCCCGGGTTGTGTTGCCATGGAAACTCCCCAATCCACTACGTGGTTTGGTTCTTGTCGAGGCCACTCTTCTGAGGGAGATAATGTTAGGAGCGTGTCTGTTGCTCCTATGCCTGTTGCAGCCTGCGAGCTCCTCCAGCTAGACCTTTGCTAGAGCGCCAGATCAATTGTGAGCTAATGAGCCTGGCCACACACCCTCAGCACCTTTTCCTGGCTACTTCATCAGCTGTGGGCTGACAAGCCTGGCCACACACTCCCCAGCCTTGTGATTGGTTTGTGGCTCTTTATTTAAGCATCATAAGTCTGGGGCTCTGGCCTTGCAATAGTCCTGTCTTCACAAGTCTGAACTCAGTCTCAGAAAATCTAGTATTGTAACCTGTTCCTGTCATAGTATTTTACATCCTGCTCCTGTCTCAGTATCCTGTCTCTGGAATAATCTGCCTCCAATCCTAACCTGAGCCTGTCCATGGACTACTCTGTCTTCCACCAGTCCTGACCTCAGCCTGTCCCTGGAATACTCTCTGTCTGCCACTAGTCCTGACCTCAGCCTGTCCCTGGTAAACACTCTTCTTGTGTCCTCCATCACCAGTCAGTAACTTCTACTCTGTACCTGGGGCCCGTCTGCAACAATATGCCTGAAGAGAAAGGCGGCTGATATCGGTGAACTCATTTGCCACTATTTACTCTGACTGAAGTGTCTGCATCCGATCCTGACAGTAAATTTCTTTTCCAACACTACTTGCAAAAATTCATAAAATAGTTTTGAATCCACAAATCCTTTACCTGGTAAAGCAAGCACTAAATAATAAATTACAAAGTTAAAGATTGAATGGGCTTAAAATCAATCGCCTACTGTAAGTTCGCCCACAGGCACAGTACTCACATGATTACACTAAACAGACACATGTGGAAACAAAGTAGCATAGCTCCTGGAAAGTCGAAACCGAGACAGTACTTATATGAAAAGTAAACAAAAATATTTAACAACAAATCTTAAACATGTAGATCAATTTCCACATTTGACACCTTCGGTTGGTGTGCATCCTTGCAATCCACTTTACTCAATCTGCAATTTGGCTCTCTCTCTTCTTGTCCTTCAGTTTCTATAAGTAATCCCAGGCTGACTTGAGGGGCTCTGTGGAGGCCACACCATCTGTCTCATGATACAATGTTCTTTTAACTGCAAATACTCTGCCTGTCCAAGGTCACACACTCTAATATTTGGTTGGACTGCCTTTAACTTTGATTGCAGCACACAATCGCCATGGCATCTTTTTGATAAGCTTACGTAATGTCATAACATTTATTTTTGTCCAGAATTGCAGTAATTTTTCACCAAGATCTTGTAGTGATGATGGGAGACTTGGACCACTGCATTCATTTTTCACCAAGATCTTGTAGTGATGATGGGAGACTTGGAAAACTGCATAAAGGCTTCTCCAGCACTTCCCAAAGAACCGCATTTAGAATAAGGTCTGGACTCTGTGGTGGTCAATCTATGTGTGAAAATGATGTCTCATACTCCCTGAACCACTCTTTCAAAATTTGGGTCCAATGAATCCTGGCATTGTCATCTTAGAATATTCCCGTGCCATCAGGGAAGAAAATATCAATTTGTGGAAACGCCTGGTCATGCAGTATAGTCAGGTAGGCAGCTGTTATTAGTTGGGCACATATTTTGTGAACGTCGCTGAACCTAGACCTATTATCCTATATAATGCTCTGACCTATTTCTTAGCTAAATTTAGGTGGTGACTTTTTTGGACAGGCAGTGTAGTTCTTTATTGTTTCAACTGTGGGTTTAAGGTTATGCAATAGGATGGAGTAGGGACTGACCAGACACTTCCATGATGGTAGAGCATGATGAATAAGAACCTGTACTTCAGTAAAGATGTAACAGATTTTGACCACATCACGAATTCTAGAAATGAAAAATGTAACTATAGAGAACATTGACCATGCTTCATGGCTGCCTACAGATGCTTATCCATGCACCATATTCCAGCATTTTGGCAGACAAACTGCTTTTTGTTACCACCAAACAGTTTACATTTTGATTCATCAGTTCATAACACCTGATGCCATTTTTCTCCACTCCAGTCCTGTTTTTATGTGTAGTTGTGTGTTTTGCTTTGTTTCCACCGTGGAGGAATGATTTTGGTCACAACTCTTCCATGAAGAACACTTCTGGGAAGACTTTTCTAGATTATAGGTGGGTGTTTCTGGGTCCCAGTGGTTTCAGCCATTTGTAATCTGATACCACTGTGCTTCTACGGCAAGAGTACCCAACTTTCACCAGGAGCAGGTCTTTCCCTGAGCTTTACTCATATCACTGGCTCCTGCTAATACTCCTGGGATCTATCCTGCAAAAAAGAGAACTTGGGCTGCTGGCAAAAAAACCAGGAGCATAGTGAACTAAAGGATGGTAAAAATCAATCCAATGCCTAAGATGGCACTGGA